ATGTGGTAAGTGTTTTTTATATATTCTGTCTTTTTCCTTTTTTTGGGTAGATTGTCAAGCAAGAATACAGGCACTGGAAAAGGAATTGATGGAAGAGCTGAAGACCTTGAGGCATAAGCAAGTAATACATCCTAGCCTTCAGGAAGGTAAGCAGGCAGTGTACACACTGTTGCACTTGGCTGTATATTGTATTTAACCATATCAGGTTGGCAAGCTCCTGCTGGATGTCATACTGTGTATGCCAAATTCAGCTGGGCTCTGGTTTTGGTTTTTTTTTTTTTTGGTAAACACAGTAAAAGTACTGATAAAAAAAGGCAAATCTCTGTGGAGCTGTCAGTGTCCCTCTTGCCACTTGTGGCAATGGGAGAGAATTTGTGGCATCTGACCCTTTTTTTTTTTTTTTTTTCCTTAGAGGCTTTAGAAGTAGTTTGAGCCTGCCAAGAAAGATGGTTTTGTTTTCACACATTCATGTTGCAAATTAGAAGAGGTGGAGAAGACAAAAGATGAATCCTGAATCTCCCAACAGCAGAGCAGGAGGCTTTGTCATCCTTATGCCTCCTGCAGAAGATGCAGAGCCTTCAGACTTCAGGGGATGCTTGTTTTGTAATGAGCTTATCCTTGCAGAGAGCAGATGGAGCTGATTTTACTCTTCCATAGAAAATAACCATTTTCTGGTAGTAGAGGAGCTAGAGATCCAGAAACACATAACCAAGGGTACATTTGCTATGTTTGAGTCTGTATTTCTTTGAGCCACAGTAGATCCAGACTCACTAGCCACATAAGAGGGCCAAGCCCATGATCTTTTTTTTTTTTGTGTAATACTATCCTTAGATCACATGAAAGAAAGTCAAGGATCAACACATCAGAACTTAATGTTCTCTGTGCTGATGATGCTGGAAGTCTTCAGCAGTAGTAGTCCAGAGAGCCATGGCATTAACATTGGCATCAGAGCAGATGATGAAGAATTTGATGTGAGTGGAAGTGTTGTACCTCATGCTCTTGAGGTTGTGGCCCTGAATTTTTCAAACATGTAACTGTAATGCTGTAGGGATTGAGGTTCCACATGTTGATCTTAACTCACATTTGGGTCCTCACAGAGGAAGAGCCCTGGATTATCTTGAATGCTTTATGCATGAGGTATGACAAGAGCTAGCCTTTCATTTTTTGCAGCTATTTAAAGGGATTCCTTTGTGTCTTGCTAGTGTTGAGCTGGTGTTCCTGTATTCCACCTTTGCAGAGGGGTCATAAGAGGAGCAGCAGAGCTCATAGATCTTTGCCCTGAATGTGGTGGGAATGAGACAAGATAACCCATCTCCATCCAGGTGGTGTTACAGCATCAGCACTGGCAGCTGTATCATGGATGTCTAAGCACAGTTTTCCCCTCCTGTGATTCCAGAAGTAGGTGGCCCTGTTCTCTGACAGCCTCACTGGCCAACCTGCCCTCAGGTCTCTGTGTTGTCATACTTCAAAACTGGTGGTAAAATCCCTTTTGTGTGGTCAGCTGTTGGCAGTGCTGGATACAGCACTGGGCAAATGTTACAGCAATATTAATGCTTTTTAGGATTATACTGTGGCTTCCTAGATGTTATCTCTACCCAAGAGAAGCATAATGAAATTATAGGGCACTAGCAACCGTGTGGTATGTTGGCAACCACAATACTAGCAAGGGCTGTTTTACTCATGAGATGATCCTGCAGCTGGGAATGTGTAAAACCCACATGCTTTTCCTCCAGCTTCTAAGGGGGTGGTGGTGAAGTGTGTGGTGCCTTCTGAAGGGTGTTGTGGTTCACAGGTCCTACAAAACGAACAAGAAAAGTCAAGTGTCAGGCTAAGAAAAGGAGATCTGAAGAATTTTCACTTCCTTGAGTGTTTGTGACCATCATTTCCAGTCAGTGTTGCATGATGATCTGCTGAGCCTGTTAAATGGTGAAATTGTAATTCAGCAATGAAGAGGATGACCCTCACCTCGAAGTTTTAGGGGGAAAAGGAGTTAAGTGAAGACTCTTCACAGCAAGAGCATTGCTACAGATGTAATTCATAGAAATTCATAGGTCAGGCTGTGAATTACAGTACATGTGCTGTGGTTGTTAAGACTTCAGCTGCTGCATGGGACCTGAAACCAGTCCTTATTCAGATTTCGTTCACCTTCCAAATAATTACAGGCCTGTTGCCTTCCATTGCAGATTTGAGATCAGGGAAGGAAGGAAGGAACACAATAACACATGTTTCTAAATGTGCTTTCAGCTATTTTGTAGAAGCTGGCTGGCTTCCTAGTCCTCACTGCAGCATGGGGAATGGACATAGCAGTTTTGGTGGTAACTCTGCTTTTGGTTTTGGCCAGTGTAGTTGAGAAGCTTGTTTCTCTCTGTGATTCACTGATGATGTGTTGGAGATGTACCTGAACCCCACAACGGCTCCTGATTTGTGAAGTTCAGAAAAGGGTGGTTGAGGCTATCTAGATCTTGGAGGCACCAGGATGGCAGGAAGAAGGTGCTTCAGGAAGGAGGGAATTCAATGTACAGCTGTTAGAAGGAAAGCTCCTGCTGCAGCACTGCAGTGCTGTGGGACCCCTCTGCTATCTGAGCTAGCTGGGATCCCTTCTCAATATTCCTGGAAATGAAAGGCATTGTTGTCATGCATTGTATTTCAGATTTAGCAGCTTCATCTGATGGAAAGGGGAAGATTCTTAGGTTTCCTTATTTGCTACTGTTTGCTTACAGCAGCTGAAATTTAGCAAGACTCAAGATGGTAGAAATTAAAGTGATGATTGACCTGTCATGTATGGTGATGCATGTACTGGCATGATGCTGTTACCACTGGGTCTCTTTTGTGTGTCTGTGGTCATTCCATGTTGCACTTCTTGGAGTCATCCTCTTGGGTTTTGTCTGGGTGTTTTTTACTTTGTTCCTAAACTGAAATACCTGTTGGAGCAGATCCAGAGGAGAGCCATAAAGCTGATCAGAGGGTTTGGAACACCTCCATGTATGGTGATGCATGTACTGGCATGATGCTGTTACCACTGGGTCTCTTTTGTGTGTCTGTGGTCATTCCATGTTGCACTTCTTGGAGTCATCCTCTTGGGTTTTGTCTGGGTGTTTTTTACTTTGTTCCTAAACTGAAATACCTGTTGGAGCAGATGGAACACCTCTTCTGCGAGGACAGGCTGAGAGATCTGGGGTTCTTCAGCCTGGAGAAGAGAAGGCACTGGGGAGATGTTATTGCAGCCTTCCAGTATCTGAAGAGGACCTGAAAGAAAGCTGGGGAGGGAACTTCTGCAAGGGCTTGCAGTGGTAGGATGAGGGATAATGCTTTCAGACTGGAAGAGATTAGACTGAGATTAGAAATTAGGAAGAAGTTCTTCACTGTGAGGGTGGTGAGACACAGGAACAGGTTGCCCAGGGAAGTTGTGGATGCTCCATCTCTGTTTTCAAGACAGGACTTTGAGCAACCTGGTCTAGAGGGAAGGGGCATGGCAGGGGGGTTGGAACTGGATGATCTTTAAGATCCCTTCCAACCCAAACCATTCTGTGATGATTTTCTGTGTGAGTGATGTTCTTATTTTTGAGTGTTGAACAAAGCTAGGCTTGAAGATGACAGAATAATTCAAATGGAGTGTCAAGAAGAATAAACTGTGTAATCTTTATTTTTTATTTTAAATGGAGTTTGAAAAGAAATGAATGGCATTGTAACGTTTTGTAGATGACATGTTTTTATAGAATATGCTGGATTGACTTGCTTGCTGCTCATTTTCCCTATGTAGATTTGTAAATTACATCTCACTAGGCTGTCTGATAACAGTATCTGTTTAAACAACTGTGTCTGAGATCTGTTCTGTGCAAATTGTTTTCAGACTGCCAGTAATCAGGTCCTGGTGTTGCCACTTAAGAACATAAATGTACCACCAACACCAGGGTTCTGCTGTATGTGCAGATGCTGTGTTGTGTCCTGAGCCTTGTCAAGTCATACATGTTCAATTTCACAACTCAAATTTAACGTCTGAATTTCAGACTTGTTGGCAAGAGGAGCAAAATTGTAGGTTTCTATAGCTAAAAGCCAAAATAGACATTCTTGACTCCAGCCTGCAGGCTGAATTTGATTGACAGCTGTTTTCTTGAATTCAGCTTAACAGTGTTTTCTGAAAAAGCTAAGTAAATTTACTAGCTTCTTTTTTTCTTAGCATTTCTGTATCTCTGTTTGTCTTGCCATGGATGAAGATAGCCTTTGTGACCAAGAAAAGTCTTTTGGTTTGAGGGTTTTGGGGGAGTTGATGAAGGTGTTACAGGCAGTGAAGTATTTGTGGTGACATCAACAACGTGGACTATTTAGTTTCTTTATAGCCATTTCTCCCCCCACATTAAAAAAAAGCTTAATTGCAAAGTGCCAAGCCTGGGAGAATAAAAAAGATCATTTGATGACATAGTCCTGAGAGAGCTGTCTGAATACAACTTTATTTATATCATCATTTCCAACCACACACATTTCTTCAGAGTTAAAATGTGGTTTGCTCTTGTCTCTCATTGCTGGTTGGAACTGGAGTGTGTGTGGTATCTGTTTTTGCACAAGAACAGCTTTCAGTGGAGAAGGAAATGTGTAAGTACCACTGGGAGGATTGATAGTTCATGTAGTGATATGAAATATCAGATAGCTGAATTGGGTTCTGGCAGTAACTCTAGCCTTTCAGGATGTGAACAGTGCCCTCTTTTTCAGAAAACAAACAAACACACACTAATATTGTGAGAATTACAGTAACACTGGCACTTTGGTTCATGAATTTCATGGGAAACTTCAGTAGTAATCCAGAAAACTATGAAAAGTAATTCCATTTTTTTTCTTGATTTTCCATTTCCTAAAATAATCGTTATACCTGCTGCAAATCCAGTATCAGTAACTATAAGTTATAGTTGCTAATGCTCAAGTGTCTTAAAATGGTGAGTACTAGAAAAGCCTGTATATAACTTAAAGGTTTATTTTTTACTAAATATTGTTGATTATCTTTTTCCTAACATCTTGCTGCACTGGGACATTTACTGATACTTGCCTCTTGCAGTGGGACTGAAGTTGAATTCTGTGGACCCAACAATGAGCATTGACTTGAAATACTTGGGTGTGCAGCTTCCTCTTTCCTACTCCAATTACTCTTTGTGGAGCTATCCAGGAACCAATCCCAATTCTCCAGGTGGGTAGAACATGAATCTGCTGAAAGTGTTGCCTTCTTACTAGCAATGATCAGGAGGAGGGAATGGCCATTTAGAGGAACATGATATCTTAAAGTGATTGAAGTGGTATTAAAATGACAGAATGTGAGGACTTCCTTAGACTATGTGGTTTCTGGCTGAGGAGTCCTGGGTAATTCTGCTCAGATTCTCTTCAGCCTTCCCTATTTATGAACTTAAGGGTAAGCTGTATCTTCATGTTAATTATTTATTACAGAAGTGCTGACTGATGGTGCTTTTTAAAACTTTTCTTGTATCCAGACAAATGTATTTCTTGTTAAACAGTGATTAGGATTCCAGTACTGTTGGTAGATACTGCTTTTAATAATAAACTAGTTGAACAAAGTATAGGGTGCTTATCTTTCTCCTACCTAAATTTTCTGATTAATGTTTGTCTTAATCTGCTGCTTTTGGGAGCTGGTAAAGAGGCAGACCTTTTATCTCAGCTTTGTTTACACTGCAAAAGAGGCAGATTCAGTTCAGAAGACCTCAGTTAGCTCAATGTCATATGCAATTATTTCCAGCCTAGCAATGTATAAAACAGCCACATGGATTCCTGTTAGTACTAATTTTTACATTCCAACTTAGGTCCCAGAGCTGATGGATAACTGGACAGAGATGTTGCTGTTTGCCTTTTGTGATCATTCCCCATATCTCCCCCTAACTGATACGTGAGTGAATTTGGCAGAACAGCAAACACCAAATGAAGTTTCTACAGGTCTTATAAAAGTCAGTGGCTCAGTTGAGGGGAGAGACCCACGTTACTTTCCTTGCTGAGAGGTTGTAGCATCAGCTCAGAACCTGCCTGTTCCACGTTAGCCTACCTAACCAGCTGATTTACCTGCTTGAGCTGTAGAATCAACAGGAGGCTAAAGCTGAAAATACAGAAGACATCTTTTGTGTGGGATAGCAGATGCGTGGCCGTGCAGCAGAACTCCACAGGAAGCTTGGCTTTGTCAAGTATTCTGTTAATTAAAAAAAAAAGTCAACTCCAAGTTTCTTTATTCAGCCTTTTAATTTATTACTGTTCATCGATCCCTGAAAAGGAACAAGCAGAGTTTGCTAGGCTGTTGATACAATCAAGCTTAGTGCATCAACCTAGGCTGACTTTCTTCTTTTCCAGATACCGGATTTCCTTTTGTTTCCAGGACAGGGAAGACAAATGATTTCACAAAGATCAAAGGCTGGCGAGGGAAGCTTCATGGTGCTTCTAGAAATGAAGGTAAAACAACCAAAAAAAAAACAGAAAAAGGGATGAGTGTATATGTATTTCCAACACTTGGCCTTTTTTGTTTGACCTTCCACAGACCTTCCAGTTTGGTAATTGTGTGTGTTTCAATGAGAGATGATTTTTTATATTGAAACTGTCACGAATAAAGAATTTTTTGGTAGTTCCTATGTGATTAAAATAGATGTTTGAGGGAAGAGAGAAACTTGATTTGAGTAGGTGAAAATACATGTATTCTGTTTGACACAGAAGGCTTGACTGAAGATCAAAGCTGCAGTAGTTTTGGTTTTGTTCATCAGTTTTGTATTTACTTGCAAGTGTGGTAATTCCAGAATTCTGTTGCTGCAGGGACCCCAACAAACCAGAGCAATTTTCATTTATATTGGTGTATTTTGAACTCCAGTTAGAGTGGATATTTCTTGCATACTTGATTACTTTGCCCTGCCTCAGGGAGAAATGGATATTGGGAAATTTGCCATTTTTAACTTTATATTTTTTATTTAGATTACATGTAGTTTAAATATTTATATATTTAGATTAAATATTTACATTGTACCTTCTGCACTTTCATACAATGTTGTGTTGGGGTATTCCAGATGTTTTGTGGTGTACCAGCTATGCTAGATGTTCAGGACAAAGCAAGTTATATAGAAGCACTACCAGTTAAAGGCTTACTGGTTTTGGGAACAAATACACGTGTAAAATCTCCACAAAATAAGTTCTTCAGACAGCTGCTTGTGCTTCCAAGTGGATTATATTTGGTGTGCCTATGTTTTACTCTTCTAAAAGAATTGTTTATTTTTTGAGAGATATTTACCCCTTTTGTATTGTTTAATTATTACAAGATTTGCCAGTGTGTTTTCCCAGGAGGGAGTTAAAGTGCTCTTTATTTAGGTGGCAGTTCAGAAGGTTCCCTGAAGAATCGCTCAGCGTTCTGTAGTGACAAGCTGGATGAGTACCTGGAAAATGAAGGGAAATTGATGGAAACGAGTATGGGATTCTCTTCCAGCACTCCCACTTCTCCTGTGGTGTACCAGCTTCCCACTAAGAGCACTAGCTACGTGCGAACTCTCGACAGTGTTCTAAAGAAGCAGGCTACCATAATCCCATCAACATCTTATTCATTGAAGCCTGTTTCTTTATCATCTACCTCTAGGAAGACAAAGACTCAAAGTAGACAGACATCTACAAACAGTAGGGCAAAATCATCTTACAAGCCTATACTGCCTTCACCTTTTTCTGGAAGGCAGAAACAGAACTCTTCAGCATTAGGGGAGAAGGCTGCTAAGCCTGCCTCAGACAGCAGTTTGACTAACCAAGCAGACAGTTCTACAGCACCAGCTGTGGATGAAAACACACTTCCAAAACAGATCAGCTTGCCCCAAGCAGCACAGCAGCAACAAGGAGCTCGTCCACCAGGTCTGTCTAAGTCTCAAGTGAAGCTAATGGACTTGGAGGACTGTGCTCTGTGGGATGGCAAACCACGGACTTACATTACGGAAGAACGAGCAGAGATCTCTCTGGCAACCCTGCTTACAGCTCAGGTACATCTGTAAGAGTTTCTTTTCCTTTCTGTACTTCTGGTGCTTTTCCAAATCTGTCCTCTTACTCATGTTCCATGTAGATGTAGAAAATAAGAGCAGAGCTGCTAAGGAGCATGACAAAACGTGACGTTCTCCTGTGGTGTGGTCTTTGCAGTGAAAGTTGAGAAGCGCTGACTTGGCAGGATGTGAAAAAACTAGTTGTGGTAACAGTGTGTTGGTATGACTCATTGAGTTCTCTCAACCTTTCACTGTTACAAATTGGGTTAGTACTGAATAACTGCTATTCAGTAACTGTGTTTCCTTACTATTTGTCACCCTTTTTTTTTTCAGTTGAACTAACTGCAAAAAAAAAAAACAACTCCCAGTCATGTAACTTGTTTGTCAGGTGATAAACTCTTTTGCTTTTCTCACATCTCTACTTACTACCAGGATGGTTTAGCTGCCTCAAAATCCCTCTTAGAAGGCTTCAGATGCAGACTCTTCTCTGTTCTGTGTGTTTGGTTTTTTTTTAATTATAGATGACAAATTTTCACATGTAAACCTTGTAGATGGAGGGGTTATTCTAAGTAAGCTCTGAACAGCAATTTTTGCCTATGCTTGATTTAATCTTACAAAAATTGAAGTGTATGCTTTTCTAAAACTTTCCTTAGGCTTCTCTCAAAAATAAACCTATCCACAAAATAACAAGGCGACAGGCACCTCCTTGCAACAAGGAGTTCTGCCGACTGGGTTGTGTTTGTGCCAGTCTGGCCCTGGAGAAACGTCAGCCCACCCACTGCCGCAGGCCAGACTGCATGTTTGGTTGCACCTGCTTGAAGAGGAGAGTGTTGTTGGTGAAGGGGGGAACAAAACATAAGAAGATCATGAAAAAGGCTGTGCTCTATGGAACACAAGAAGAGCTAGAGGATGAAGATGCGGAGGAAGAGGGTGATGGAGAGGAAGATGAGCTGAAGCAGAAAGATAAGAAGAAGAGAAAAAGGGCAGAGTACAGTGAGTATTGCTGGGCAGAGGGGATTATTTACAGCTTTGCAGAAACCATCCATCTTGGTGGGCGTTTTTATTAGGCTGTTGTAGTGATGCCATTTCTAAATCCAAAAACTGGGAGTGAATTCCAAGACATAAGGCTGACTAGTAGGAAAAACACCTCTTCCCTTTTTTTTT